GCACTCACTGTTGTACACAGAAGCAGCTCTGGGCAGATGACGTATGAGGTCGGCATTGCGCATGCGCCGCTCAGAAGTGATGCATGCGGAAACGCAGCGGAGAGATCAAAACAAAACACCAGTCACTAATTAGAAGTACAAAACGAGGATTTGTAAAGAAGAATGTCGGAGGATTTCGATATAAGCCAAGAGGAGACTGGTTTTCCTTTGCTAAAGTAAGAAAACTTTGCTTCCTTTGCTCCTGTTAACAAACGTTGGTTTTCACGAGACTCACCGGCGCATGCACAACGCCGACATCTTACGTCATCCTCGCGGAACTGCTTCTGTTTACAACTGTTGGCGCAAGCTAGATTAAAGTGATTATTACGTTTTGAATATGGATATTTTTCTTACAAAAACACATCGATTCACTACAGGAGGCCTTTGTTCACCCCCCGGAGCTGTGTGAGGCACTTTTTATTATGGATGGATGCGCTTTATTTCACTTCTTTTGGACTGATGCATGCAACACCCGCTGAGTGGCATTAAACAGCTTGGAAGATCAAAGTCAATTTTTAATATAACTCTGACTGGATTCATCTGAAAGAAGTAAGTCATATACGCCTAGGATGGCTTGAGGGTGAGTAAATAATGGGCTGATTTTCATTTTTGGGTGAACTATCCCTTTAAGGATCTTGGTTTGTACCAATCGAAACTCGGTAACTCTCAGTCAGCGGCCGGTTTTCCAGCGGGACTGGAGTCTCTGAGCAGCAGAGGCGTGCGATGAATCAGATGCAGCGCTTTAGCAATATGCATGTCTAAAATAAACCGCCTCAGAATGTGTGATGATTTTTTCTCAACTCCTCGATCTCACGCTATATGCCACCTTTCTGCGTGTAAGAACCTCCATCTGCCACACAATCTTTCCACCGGCCCCGGGAAGCCACCTGACTGGAACGATTAACAGGCGCCAAGATCCTTCACATGGAGTCTGAAGCTTCATAGACGGAAAAAGCTGCCGGAAAATTCAGCTGTCAGGGAAGTAAATCATAATGAATCAGGCAATGAAAACGGAATCGGCAGTAATGCCATATTGAATTTCTGTCTCAAGGTCTTGAAAAAGGATGGATGAGGAATTCACTTTTTTATGGGTAGTTAAATTTAATCAAGGCCTTTTTCAGGTTTAGGACACACAGTGAGCACGTGTTGCTCGTCTCGGCCAATAGAGGGCTCTCTAACGGCGTCGAGTGTGCACAAGTAAGCACAGACAGATGGAAAAGTTACTTTATTGATCCCTGAAGGGAAATTCAGTGCAAAACGGCAGGAACATCAAATAAAGTGTGCATAAATACACAACTTTCAGCAAACAGCACTAAACATTACATAGAGTGCAGCCAATTGTATCATACAGGGCCATATTTAAGTCTCTCAGCATCCATTAGTGCCTTCCTTAATGGTTAACAAAATTAACTGAGCTGAAGGTTATGGCTTAATATAAATTAGTATACAATATTCTATATTCGATTTCCCAAATGAACTTCCAATGCAAACATAAACAATACAGTAGCATGGTAACACTTTGGTAGCCTACTTTATGTATAGGCCAGGGGTGCCCAAACTCGGTCCTGGAGGGCCGGTGTCCTGCAGAGTTTAGCTCCAACCCCAATTAAACACACCTGAACCAGCTAATCAAGCTCTTATAGGCATACTAGAAACTTACCAGCAGGTGTGTTGGAGCTAAACTCTGCAGGACACCGGCCCTCCAGGACCGAGTTTGGGCACCCCTGGTATAGGCCCATGGTTCTGAATGAATAATGTTTATATAGCTACCATGGTATATAGGCCTACTCCACGAAATATCATAGTTTTAGCATGGCACGTTTTGTGTGAACTGTCTATAACTAGCCTTATTTTGAAGAGATACTACTTTTGGATTTAACCTCTGACTTAAATATTTTTGTTATAGTGTCACGATCTGCTGTTGTGCAAAACTGTGTTGTTTAACAATCCAGTCGCACATGTGTCTGTCTGCTCTGGCCTGTTACTCATCACTCACACGGTTGCCAGTGAAGGCCGTTTCTCTGCACGGATCTCATTACTCGATCTCTCTCTTTTTCATTTCCCAGTCTCTCTCTCTCACTTCCATCTTGTGTACAGCTGCCTCAGCTTTAAGTCTGACTCGGGGCCGCCACTCTTGATTCATCCCATGAGTCTTTGGGGCAGTGGCTGCTCTCTTCCCAGACATGCATTTTTGCATAACCATAAATCCCTCACCAAATGTGTAGACAACGAGGCTCTGGGTCTCGGCCTCTTTGTTTCTGTACAGCTAAAGGTTTCAGTCAAAATAAAGAGATGAATCTTATAAAACATTACTTAAAGAACACGTCCAAATCATATTTCACCCCCACATCAAAAGGAAGACATATAAAATAATATTTTGCCCAAAGAAAATATGACAATTAAGCATATCCCTCCTAATTCTTTATAATATTATATTAATGTAAAACAAAGTAATTTTATATTAATTTTTTATATGATTTTTTTGCATTGTGACATTATTTTTATGACAATTAATCATATCCCTCTTCCCATTTTCATTACCATAACGCAAATAAATCTCATTCTCTGTAGTAGTAATGATATTATTTAAACAATGTTATAATAATAATGTTAAATAAAAAGTAATCATTTATATTTGCTTATTTCTTGCATTGTTTAATGACAATTAAGCATATCCCTCCTCCCATTTTCATTACTGTAATGCAAAGTCTCTGTAAATAGGAATTATATTTTATTATTTAAATAATATTCAGATGTGAATATAAAATATAAATTGACATTTTATAATTTTTTTTTTTTTTTTGCTCTGTGGCATTAACTTTCAACACAGTTAAGCACATCCTTCCTCCCATTCTCATTACTGTAATGCAAAAAGATGAAAAAATAAATAAATAATACAATTTTCAATCTCATTCTCTGTAATAGGAACTGTATTATATTATCAGAATCAGAATCAGAATGAGTTTTTATTGCCAGGTATGTTTACACATACCCTCGTATTTTATAATTTGTTTTCATGACAGAAGCTCCACAGTGTAACAGAATGACAGTGACAGAACAAAAACACAGATAATAAAAAGTTAAGCACATCCTTCCTCCCATTCTCATTACTGTAATGCAAAAAGATGAAAAAATAAATAAATAATACAATTTTCAATCTCATTCTCTGTAATAGGAACTGTATTATATTATCAGAATCAGAATCAGAATGAGTTTTTATTGCCAGGTATGTTTACACATACCCTCGTATTTTATAATTTGTTTTCATGACAGAAGCTCCACAGTGTAACAGAATGACAGTGACAGAACAAAAACACAGATAATAAAAAATAGAAAAATAGAACAAGTAACTAAGGAATAAAAATATACAAATAATATTAAATATGCACAATGCAAAAAATAATATTCTCTAAAATACAATTGATATATTTATTTTTAGTTTTTTGTTATATAATAAAATATTAAGTATAATATATTTGACTTTATATTATTAATGTTTATAATATAATATATATTTGACACATATTATTAATGTAAAATGTAATTTTTTATATTTAAATCTTAAACAAATTTAAGAAATAAAATATAAAAACTAGACCGTTTGTGGTAGTGAGAATTGAGGCTTAATTGTTTATAAAAAATAATGCAAAAGATCTTAATGGTCCTTAACTAGGTTTAATTTTCTCTTCCCTCACGTGGAAATTGATCTGGAGATGACATCTGGTTATCCAGTACATGAAACGACCTGTTTGGAGTCTCTTGGGCCCTGCACAAGAATGCTGGCGGACAGCATTTAGAAACAGCTCTCAAATTTACAGCCCCATAATCCCATATAGAGATCTGGGGTTGACATCTCGTGTTTGATTGAACACTTCATATTTTGCTTCCCCACACAGGGTGACAGAAATAGGATAATTTATTGTACGTCCCCTGACAGGAATAAACTACACCGTGTCCCACTCCGGGGAGATGGATGCGACTCTGTTACACTTTCACAGGTGACTTGAACTGTTGACAGATAACACACTCGATGGAGTTGGATCTGTCAGAAACGTGAAAGTTGTTTGAGTTCTGCTGAATGCTGACTGTGCTACATAACACAAAATATAAAAACACAAATAAATCTAATTAAAATAGCATAAACAGTAGGGGTGCCATGGTATCACAGGGTAATATCATGGTACTTTCAAATAAAACATGGTACAGATAGATAGATGGATAGATAGATAGTTATTTTTGTATTTATTTACAGAAAGCACTATGGTACTTTGACATACTATGGTCATTCATGATTGTGTGTAGAGAGATGTTCAATTCAATTGTAAGTTGATGATAAGATAGATGTTCAATTGTAAGTGTTCAATTACAAAAAGTACTATGGTACGTTCATATCATAGTACCATTTTCATTACTATGGTATTTATATTATTCCAAAGCACTCAAAGGGGTCATATGATGCTTTTTAAAGATCATTATTTTGTGTATTTGGTGTAACAGAATATGTTGACATACTTGTTCAAAAAACACATTATTTTTCAAATACTGTACATTATTGTAGGTCCTCTATGCCCCGCCTCTCTCAAACACTGGGATCTTATCTATGCACAATCAGCTTGTAACACTGATTCTAAGGAAAACTTGAAATCGCATCATATGACCCCTTTAAAATATTATGGCGGTACACATCATGAAAATACATGGTATTGTCATTGTACATGTCTACAACAACATAGTATGATGCCATGGCAAAAAACAAACAAACATAGTAATACCATGGTACTTTTATAAGTGCCAGACTAGCTTTAAAAGTAATCATTGAATTTGGAAGATATGATCTTTTCACTTATCTACACTAGATTAAAAGCACTTTAAGCTCGAGCTCTGTCCTCCATCAGGTCTTCGCTGGTTCTGTGGTTTAAAGCTCTCAGCGCTGGGAAGGGGAGGAGACACACACACACATCAGCTCCGTTCCTCCGTGCGCGAGTAACCGGGCAGGAGGAGGCGAGCGCGATCAGACCTCCAGGTGTGTGTAGATGTACGTGTGTGTTCCAGCCACACCTGGATGCATCATGTGATCAGATACCTGGGCGTGGAGCTAGCGTTCAGTGTGTTAGTCGGTAACGGGAATCTCGGAACCGCAGATCTCTTGTCGCTCCGCGCGTGAGTGACATGTGAACTTTCCGTGCACCGGGAATCTATTCCTCTCAGTCTAAAGGGACTCCGTGGTCTGGACGCTGCAACCGCCGCCAAGGTGAGAGTCTGTGTTTATGTGTTTGACGTGGAATATTGTGCGTTGTACCTTCCAGCAGTTCGCGGTTGTGTTCGGTTTCAGACGGGACGCGTATCCCGGACTGAGACGCATGTTGCATGTGAGATGATGTACCGACTGGGCTCATGTGTAACTTGTCGGTAGCCGTTTTAACATTCGTTGCTTGAAACTTATTGTTATTTATGTCCTAGTAGCTTACTTTTATTTAATATTAGTAGGTAATGTTTTATAATTTCACTAGTAAGTATTCAACAGACTTTAGTATGCAGTGTACGAACTAGTGAGTGACTTTTAGGAGGGTCTACCGTTTTCGGGACTCAATCGGTTGAGGTTCGTCTCGCGCAATAACGCCAATGTCTTGTGGCGCCCCTGGCACTAACCGTCAGCTATCTTGAAGACGTTTTGTGTTTGTAAATCTATGTTAAACTGATTAGCAATGACTAGTACTTAAGTGCTAGACTAGTACTTAATACTATACTGTCCGATAATGATAACGGAAAGTGCTCGAGCGGCGTATTGTTGCAATAGGAACGTCAAGTGTAAGCAACGGGCATCCGTTTTTGCACCCTGACTAACTTGCAGGCTAATCTTATTATTTGTGTTACTGAAATGTTATTTAAACCTATATATACTTGTATGAAAAATGAATACTTAGTTTTAAGACACCTAACTTTTGTTTTGACTTATTTTGAGGGGTGCAGACAACCCAAACTACCAATATTTGCGCCCAGTTAGTAGCCTGTGTATTCATAGTAAGTTAAGTTGGATTAGTGCTGGGCGGTATGACCAAAAATTTATATCACGGTATTTTTCAAAATTATACCGGTTTCACGGTACAAGACGGTATTTTTTTTTCATGCATGACCGAGTGTTAACCATATTTTCTTCTGATTGAGAGAGGTAATACTGCAGTATATTGGCTTAGAATGCCCTATTTTACTGTCACGATGAGTGAATATTGTCAACCTACCACAATAAAAATACCACAATAAATAGTGACTAAATACGTCCCCTTTTAATACATGTTAACCAGGAGTCACTCTCATTTATAATCGCGGCATCGTCTGATAAAATCAACATGCATCTACACTAAAGAGCGGCTATATTACTTTTTTGTCTCGTGCAGCGCACTGCCTGCGTCTGAGTAACAAACTAAAAAAAAACAACAAACAAAAAAGTGCATGTGATATTAACAGACGAACTACGCTCATATTTATAATTCCAAACAATCAGTAAGTGACAGGTGCTAGGAACCGCTGTTTTGTTCTCATTTATCGACGAGTCGGCTGCGGTGCTTCTCTGCCGCTCACTGCACAGAACAGACGCCGAGAGAGGCGACACTTCTCCAGGAAAGTCAGACCTCGCGTTCGCGGGACAGCACTGGCGAAATCTTCCAACTGAACCATAGCTAAGGTTTATCCAAAAAAGTCGCTAGGTTTGTCAGTATGAATATTCTATGGAAAAAATCTGCTAAAAGGGTCTGAAAGTTGCTAAATCTAGTGCTAAAGTCGCGCTGGTGTGTGTGAGACGCGGGAGCTGATGGCAGCGGGCGCTGGATATTTGTGGCGGTCAGTGTGGATATTGTGGATGAGTTCTTCTGTGTCATCACGTTCTATTAGTTCTACAGCTTCAGTTTCTGAACTTTCACGCTTAGTAACACATACAGCTGTGCCCTCACCACAGTGCAACAGTGAAAAGGGACCCCTTTCAAACAGTGTCGCGTTCCGAACGTTGTTTAAGTGACATATACCGGTATTGCGGTATTTTCAAAATTCATATCATAACAAAAATAAAAACCGGTATTCGGTATGAACCGGTATACCGCCCAGCACTAAGTTGGACTACTCTTACTCTTATGGTTCCTGAAACGTTTACAAAAGCTGTTAAAACGTACATGTACTTATATTTTTTTAAGACCGTCAACCATTTGTTTTGACTTATTTTGAGGTGTTCAGAACCCAAACCCACATTAATCGCACACTGCTAGTTTGTATTCCTGCAATAATAATGACTATCATTTAGTCTTTTTGCTACTCCAGTCACTATTCCAGTAGTGGTGAGTAACTGTTCCATTGTTGCCGCCAACAATTTATAGTTTTTGCCTTTAAGTAACCGTTTCAAATTTAGTGGTAATATTAACTATAAAGTCGGTCTTTCTTGATGGTTGACGAGTAGGCCTATATGTCCGATTCTTGTTTGTCCCGAATACCATGGTGATAAATTGGCAGCTGTTTTGAGGTAAGTTATGTACTTCCAAAACAGCCTACTTAGCTAGTCTTTTTCCCAAATATTTGTAGTGAAATTTAGTCAAACATTATGCCAAATGAAGCATTTTTTGTGTCTCAATTGCCATTTAATTTAATTATTTATAATCCCATATGTGTAGACTACTAGTTATGACCTTGATTTGTCTTAATGGACATGATGGATTTTTAATGGGTTGGATCTGGCTAATAGTGTTTCTTTGTCTTTGTGCTGCTCTTCTAAGTCCAGAGTGTTGTGTTTCACAACCACTAGTTGTCTGTTCTGTTTGTATCAGGTTAAACTGTGCTTGTCGAACATCAGGGGACTCCGTTTTCTCTGCTTTTCCCCACATTATTCACTTGCATCGCATGTGCGCTTGAGTACAGAGTACAACAGGTCCGGATGAGCTCTTTCTGTGTCTTTAACGGTGTAAACCCTGCTGCTTGTCTCAGTACACTGGCTCCTTTCAGCCGGGGCTCTGAAGTTGGGCGTCTCTCACATTGTACCGCCTTGTTCTGCCTCTAAATTGCGTCTTTATTGGGCTCTATTGCGGTGTGGTGAAAAGAACAACCCCAACAGCGAAAGGCAGCGTTTTTATAAATACACACCATCTGCACACACACTCCACGTAGCCGGCATGAAATCAGGTCCTGCTCCTGCCTACAGCTCTCAGGCTTATCTGCCGTCCTGCGAGCATTTAGAATAGAGCGACTGTATTCACTTGCATCGCATGTGCGCTTGAGTACAGAGTACAACAGGTCCGGATGAGCTCTTTCTGTGTCTTTAACGGTGTAAACCCTGCTGCTTGTCTCAGTACACTGGCTCCTTTCAGCCGGGGCTCTGAAGTTGGGCGTCTCTCACATTGTACCGCCTTGTTCTGCCTCTAAATTGCGTCTTTATTGGGCTCTTCTGCATTTCTATGCAGTGAAAGGGAGGAGACATCCTGGGGGATTATCCTCATTAAATGCTTTAAACAAACGTGCCAGATTAGCCGGGATCGTTCTCCATGTGGGGGCAACGGGGGCCGAGGGTGGGTGCGGTGTGGTGAAAAGAACAACCCCAACAGCGAAAGGCAGCGTTTTTATAAATACACACCATCTGCACACACACTCCACGTAGCCGGCATGAAATCAGGTCCTGCTCCTGCCTACAGCTCTCAGGCTTATCTGCCGTCCTGCGAGCATTTAGAATAGAGCGACTGTCCCTTATCTGAGCTGCGAAATGCGTGATGAATGTTCTCTCCGCACGGAGCTGAATGATTTCATTCACCTTCCGAATGTCCCTGTGTTTTACGCTCAGAAATCATCAGTTACCCGCAATCACCTGCAGGGCTGTCAGGGAAAGCACTTGGCCGGAGCACTTGTGTTTATCAAAAGCTAAATAAAGAAGTAGCATTTGTCTGATGTTAGCCTGGAGGAAAACAGGATGGTGATGTTTAATGTCATACATTCACCTTTTTCTTGTGCGGTGGCACCCGTGACTTCATTTTTTCTGAGGGGCCTGGTTTTCCATCAACAACTAATTATTCAGAATAGTTTGCCAAAGAAGAAATGGCAATGTACTTCTTTTTTCTCCCTGTGGTTTGGCCGATTAAAGGCCTTTTAAGCATGTGGTCATGTTGCCAGCTTGAGTCTGGACGTCTTTGGTCATTTTTGTTGCCTTCAACATGTCAGGCTGCTCTGCACTTAAAGTAATGCATGTTGATATTGGAGATTCTTGGAAAAGTTGGATGCTTTTTCTTGTACCGGTGTGTTGAGTCTGGCTGCTCTGAAATGGCCTTCTTGCACGGATATTATGAAAAAGTTTGGCAAGTGTTTCTTAACCCAGTCCTGATGTTTCAGTCCGGAGAGTGACATTGAAGCCTCTACTTTAGATTCTTCTCATAGTTTTCAATTTAACAGTGCATGCTCTAATAAATAGGTAAAGTAGATGTGATGGAATAAATTGTGACTCTTTCAGGTTTTCTGACCAACTGCTGCAAGTGACAGACATGTTGTTAAGTGTAAACCTGAATGTTTTGTTTTGCCCACAGCTAAATCTCATTGGACACTCCCACTCCACATTTATGTGTGATTTACCAAGGTGTTTTTTTTTTGTTCGTTTTTTTAAAGTCATTAAATCACAAAAACACAGAATCCAGAAAAATTAAAATAGACAACACCAAATAAATAAATAAAGACACTAGTAGGGCATTATTATTGTTAATTTCATTTTATAAATGATTAAATTAAATTCCATTTTGTTAATTGAAATTTAATCAAACTATTAAAATGGAACAATTATAATAGAAAACATGGACTTTGAGAAAAAATAAAATGGATTCCATAGAGTCCTGTTTCTATTATACATGCAATATGTTTGATTAGGAATGCACAATATATCGGTACCATATCGGTTATCGGCAAATATTGTTTTTTTTTATTTCAGTATAGATATTTTATGTTTAATTGTGAATGCTTATTTCCTCAATTTTTACTTGTTAAAATTACAAATAATTTAATAACATTGCTAAATTTAATATTTAATATCTAAAAATGAGTATCCATTTTTCATATTGTACTTAATAATGTTGGGATGCCAGTTAGTATTTTGTTTAAAAAAAAATTTATTTACAAAATTTAAAATAATACAAAATAATTCTGTATATTTTTACTTTTTTTGTCTAATGTTTCTATAGCACATTTCACAATATATAACATTTTTAACATTTTATTTATTTATTTATTGGTATCTGCCAT